CTCTTTAATATTCCTACATTTTCAAACATTAATACTCTTATATTTTGTATTATTAATAATTATTAATGATTAAAAAAACATTACGAGTGCCATTACATATATATAATATATTTGTGCTCACGCTTATATGAGCGCTGCACGCACATCACACATACATACATACACATTCACACTGGAACATACACACACACGTGTAGAACATGTCGAAAGATATGTAACACAGAAACAAGAATGTATCTATATGTGCATTAATCTTAATTCTTTTATAATTTATTCGTTGTAAAAATTAGATGCATTTGTACAAGTACAAGGACATGTTCTTGTAACTTAAACCTACACAGACTGACTATAGTGTGTACGATCAACCAGATTATAGATATCGTATTATTACAATTTCTGAAAAATTCTTTAACCACTACTGTGACTTTGTACGTTCCCATAAGTCAAATTTTCAAAAAGAACCACAAGGTCCATAGCGATTTATGAAATTAAAAATAATCACTACATAAAACTATGAAAATGTACGGAAAATCATAACAATGCTTTATAAATTAATATTTAATACGTGCATGATTAAATGAATAAAAGTAATACAAAAAAAGAGTGCACAATAAAATGAAGTATAAGTACATGAAATTGTTATTTATGTATTTCAAAGAAAAATCTTGAAACATAAATATTGCATTCTATGAAAATGATACAAGTTGGTTATTATCTAGTTGACATCAATGTAAGGTGTTACATACCTTTAAACACATCCTATATATAAAACTCAGACACTCGTAATGTCTCTTAATATTTTATTCAAAATCTCGACATAATTAATAATTGATATTCAATTACTCATTTTTTTTTTTTGTTAATTCTTTAATACTTCAGGAAAAAATTCATCTTTACCGTTGCACCCTGCATATCACAGGAAACTATCCAAAATTGTTGTCACAGAATTTGCAACAATTCGAATCTTAATTTCATCATTTACGATTATTTGTATCTTTCTTATTCTTTTTTTATTGACACTCTTCAGAATCCGATAAGAGTTGATGTTCCTCGTAGGATCAATTATTAGCATTCCTCCTTTGAAGTGCGGCTGCGAGATCCTGTCTAAGGGCAGCTTGTTGTCTCTGGTCAGCCAAAGATTGTACAGATCTCAATCCATTGACAATATCTTTCGTTTTTCCAAAATATATTTCATTCAAGGTATTTCGGATTTTATTTTCCATGTCTTCAACCATGCGCCCAATGTTGGCAATATGTGGAGAACTTTCACTTACTTGAGCATCCTGTTCAACCTACAAATTTTCATTAATTATGTAATTTAAATTACTGCTAATACTTATTATCATTATATAAAACAATCAATCAGAAATTAAGTCTACTAAAATCAAAAACAATTATAAACAGACCTGTCTCGTAAGGCTACCTCCAAGATTCATTGTTCCTGATCCATGCTTATTGGTCTGTAACCAAAGCATTGCAGTGGAAGTCAATTTGTAGTGTGCAGTTCTCCCATTTGATTTTTCTTGAACTTCGACAACATGAATAGAATCCCAACAACCCTTAATTTTCTTAGAACCATCTCCAGCTTTTTTAATAAGAATCACTGCTGCAAAACCATGATCCAAATCCCAAAGATATACAGAAGAAACTCCCCCTTCAAAATAGAGTTCCCTGTATTGATCAAATGCATGATTTGCATCTATCTCTAACTTTCTCAGTCTTTCAGAAGGCATAGAACCATCTTCTAGCGGAGGATCATATGTATTACTCCAAGGAGATCTAAAAATTATAATTTTTAATTTACTCTAACTAATTAGTTCTATAGAATCAGTTACAACAAAGAAGAAGGTTCAAATAGATTTAAAATTTATTACCTATAAGAATCTCCATCTCTGTTATAATCACAAAGTAAATAATCTTTTCCAGATTCTTTATCCTTTGCAATTTTCAAAGGCTGATCAACTGATGATAAAAGATCTTCGCAGAGTGTTGGCACAAGATCTATTAAATCACTTAAATTCTTTTCTATTTGCTGTGGTGGCAACCTTCTCATCAAATCCAATGCACAATCCATTTGTTGCTCCGTCTTTTAAAAGAACATGCAAATGCAAACTTAATTTCATTCTCAATATTCAGTTCGTGAACAAATTGTTTCTTAAAAGAATATCAATTAATTTTGGGAAAACTAATTTCAAACTTTAATGAATAACTTAAAATATAAATGCAATTCTGTTACTCTTAAATTTGGAAGTTCAATCATATCATTTTGCGTATAAGTTAAAGAATAATAATTAACTGTCATTATTTACAACTACTACTAAAAAGGATAAGAAATATTGTAAGACATGAACTAATATCTGTTAATTTGAGAACGATCAGCAATTTAGCATACAATAAGAATAACACAGAGAATCGTCATTATTAAAAGAAAATGAAAAACATTGTTGTCTTCATGCTTTCTTAAAATTGATCAAACAACCGAAATTTTAATATGTGTCAGTGTAGAGCGCCATTTTGACATTTGTTTCGTTTGAGGTTAGATCAAAAATTTTTTTCCGTGGTTTAAAATTGTAAAAAAATAATGTCTTCTACATCAAATAACGATCATAAATTTAATCAAGGGTGAAATATTTTAAAAAGTAAAGTTTCGTTGTTACAGAGACTGTTTACCATCAGTTTCAACAATGGTTTTAGATAACGACATTAACAAAAAAATATAACATTGTACTTATTGTTGGAGAGTGTTGAACTCACCATTTTAAATGATTGAAAAATTTTACGAGCGTCGATCAGAGCATCAATCAATAAAAATTACAAAATCAATGAAAAATTTATCGAAACTGTTTACCCTCTAACCCGCATTCAGCCACCGAAAACGAATATTCAAGGGGCGTGTCAAGACTAGCGCTGATTGGGTAATATGTAATACAATGCTATCAACTTAATATTGATAAAATGCTAACTATCAAAGAAAGATTTAAAATTAAGATTGTTATTAATAAAGAAAATTCTATTTACCTTATTTTACAAGAACGACATATCTACATAAATGTACGTTTGTGATATCTACATATATAAATTCAAATATAGGAACTTTTACTCGTTTTAAATATAACATCATCGTGGAGAGAACTATTATGTAGTATTACAGATGGAATTATAAATCGAATAAAAGCAGATTCTTATTAATTTATATTATACATTTAAAACGCGAATAATATTTCTTTAATTGATTTTGCAAAATATTGTATCATCTTCTTGCAATACAACATTCCATACCATGCAATTCTCTATTTTATAAAATCTTCCAGCAGATGGCGCTATAATATTCCGCGCTTCTTAGTGCTAGCATGGATTTCTTATAAACCATGGAACTAAGAATACTAATGGACGGAGCATTAGGACAAGAGGGAGGATGAGATTTGCGGCAAGGGAAGATTACGTGCATTTAGGCTGCTTTCGTGTGATTCGAGTGATTCCGAGTCTAACCGAATTACAGTAATGAATCCTACTCCTGCACACCTCCAGTCTGCAGTTTGATCCGTTAGCGAGGGTCAACATCGAAACTTTCTTTGCTCTGATTGACTGACGATCCATTGCTGAGACAATATTCACTGCGGATTGGATGTGCCGTAAAATGGTGGGGATGTGCGCGCCAGCTTAGGGAGCAAGAAAAGGGTGCAGGAATAGGACTCATTAGTGTATGTACATACAACTGAAGTGCATGTAGTCCCACTTTACGGTGAATCTCACTTCTCCCTTCTCCTTTTCAAGGTACATATATGTTCCGTCTATATGTTCTTAAGTCTATGACCACGGTGTACATCAGTAAGTGTAACGTGCAACCAATCATGAGAAGGAAAGAAATGTAGTTTCAGGCACAACTGTACATTGAAAATTGGTTTTTGAAAAATACTGGAGTTTCATCTCTATAGGAGCCGTATTGATAAGGACTCATTTACACACCTGGACTTTAATTTTTAGATCCATGGTCTATATTTCCATATTTGGCTTTGTCTCCTTCTTTCATCGCTTCTACTTTTTCTCGGAATACATACTGCGCATGTATAGAGTATAAAATAGAATGGTAGGGATAGAAATGTGATGCCGGAGAGGTCGTAGCGAAAGCGCGACACTGTGGAGAGAATACTATACAATTCTCTTGGCAACATTTTGCGTGTGGCGTTTTACTCAGCATTTTCCTTACAAAACAGTTGATTGTAACGATAGTGTAGAAATGATTTGAGACGGGTGAGTTTAATTTTTGTCGAAAACTTACGACTCACTTCGACTTTTAATTGTGAATGTTAAAAAAGCTTTATAAAGGTGTAAACTGTTTTGAAAATATTACGTATGATTTCATATAGTTCTTCAAAAAATTCATGTTTAATTCAGCGTATTTTTGGAATACTAATAAACTCTTCTATTTAAAATTATTCATCGACTTTCTAACATACAAATTTTATTGTGGTCTTCGATATAATAGATTTTTCTTGCCAGCAACAATTGGAGCAATAGTTTCGTAACATTTCTCATTCAAAAGCAAACTATTTTCTTAGGTGCTTTCTGTTTGTATGAGAGCAGGTTAGGTATTGTAATTTATTTTGAAGGCTATATGAAAACAGTAAAAATGAAATCATTGAAATAATCTTCAATAAATCGAAGTGATTCATTTTACAATAATATATATTG